GAATAAAATAATGCCATTTGCAGCAACACGGAAGGACTTGGAGATGGTCATTCCAAGTGAAGTAAGTCAGACAAAGAAAAATACCATCATTTATATGTAGAATCTTCGGGAAAAAAAGACAAATGAACTTATATATGAAACAGAAACAGACTCACAGACATTGAAAACAAACTTATGGTTATGGCGGGGGAGGGGGTGGGAAGGGATAAATTGGGACTTTGAGATTTGCAGATACTAACATGTAAAACAGATGAACAAGTTCATACTGAATAGCACAGGGAACTATATTCAATATTTTGTAGAAACTTATGGTGAAAAGAATATGAAAATGAATATATATATGTTCATGCATGTCTGAAGCATTGTGCTGTACACCAGAAACTGACACAGCATTGTAAACTGACTAGACGTCAATAAAATATATATATACAAAAATCTAGTTTAAAAGAAACCAACTTTAAGGAAAACATGGTGCTCAAGGCAGAATACCTACCTTCTTCACAAAAATCAATACTGTGCTGAGCAAGAAGAACACACGACAGGCCGAGCCCCAGCACCAGGCAATCTGAAGTGACATTGTGGAACATGCAAAAATAGGTTCTGAGACCTGAAAGCCAATCCCAAAGTAAGGGAGGCAGGTGGACAGATGTTTTCTGATAAGCATGATGACAAAAGAACATTGGAGCCTCTGTGCATGGCTGTGGGTGTCGGTAATAACGTACCTATTTCTGTCAACATCCGCTTCCACTTGGGGGCCTCCGGGGTCTCGGGGTTCTCCTCCAAGAGCTCAGTCAGTTTGTCCTTCAGCTCCTGCACTTTGTTTACATTTTGCTTCAGTTCTGCCTCGAATGACTAACAGAGGAAAAAACAAAAGAAGTAACCACATTAAAGCATGTCAACCTCCAGAGACAAAATCAGTTACAGCAGAGCATCTTTTCTCTCACATGACCCAAAGGGGGAAATAAAACCACTGTTAAAGGCTGAAGTGCACGCAGGACTTGGAGTCAGCAGCTAATTTCTGCGTGCCTTTCTTCTTCTTAACTTGTCTTCAAATATCTGATAAAAGAATCCTGGGGAGCGGGGAAGGGTCTAGCTCAGTGGTAGAGCACGTGCTTAGCATGTGCAAGGTCCTGGGTTCAATCTCTAGTCCCTCCATTAAATAAATAAATAAACCTAATTACCTACCCCCCTTTAAAAAAAGGCTAATTTACTAATCTGTAGACATTTTTGTGAGTATTGCCACAGTCTAAAACCATTTTCCCAATCCTGACAGTTGTAGAAAGAACGGAATACTACTGAGCCATAAAAAAGAATAAAATAATGCCATTTGCAGCAACATGGATGGACCTGGAGATCGTCATTCTAAGTGAAGTGAGCCAGAAAGAGAAAGAAAAACACCATATGATATCAATTATATGTGGAATCCAAATAAAAAAGACGCAAATGAA